CGACTCTCCTTTGGCAATAAAGGCTGCTGCTTCCGGTTGGAGCTTGCGGTTTTGGGCAACAGATTTCTCCTTTGGCAATAGAGGCGTGATCGCCGAGGCTTCTTCCCACAAGGATCGAAGCTTCATATAGAACGCGGAGACAGTGTTTTTCTCCTGCTGGAGCAAGCTAACCATTCGCCTAAGTTCATAAGCACGCGAGGCACTCCCATGCCCAAAACGCTGACGAAGATCATCCCATATAGCAACAGCACTATCCGCAAAGCGTATACTGCTACGTATTTCTTTATCCATGGAGGTTTTTAACCAACCTTTCACCATGGCGTCACATCGTATCCATGCTCCCCTTTCAACCGAATTTGCGGGCTTGGGAAGGCTTCCATCAACGAAACTGAACTTGTTCTTGGCGATGAGTGCGTCTTTCATATCCAGCACCCATTCACCATAGTTGGATGCCGTCAACACGTCTCCAACTAGCATGTTGCCGGGACCATCCGAATTGGACAACAGATAAACTGAAGGAAGACCATCTTCAGTTTTGACAACAGCGCCGTCGGACGAAACAGTGGCCTCATCCGTGAGACTCATGGCGAACGACGGCTGAGAATGCTATAGCTGGACCTACAGCTCTGATACCATGATAAATCGTAAAAGAAGGATTGCGAAGAGACGATTTTAACGTGGTTCTTCCTCACAGTGTGTGAGGCTTACGTCCACAAAGTTTATGCTCTCATTGATTGATTTCGGCAGCAGCCGTACATACATTTATATACCCTAAGGCAACCGACTCAACTAGGGTACAGCTTGTGTCAATACAAGAAGGACTAGGACTAGAAGTCCTACACGTCGTGGAGACATGATGTGCATGGGCTGCACAGCGGACAGGCGCGGCCGAGGCTGGATCAACATCTTCTCGGCCCAATAAAGGCCAACGTCCTCGGGATCAACCTCAACGTTCCCCCCTCTCTCTCAGCTTGCTTCTCAATGTTTGTAGCGTCAAGGCTCCATCCGGCTTCCAGTGCCCTTGATCGATGCAAGCGCCGTCGTCGTTTAATTGGTTCGGAGAGATATTAATTCCTGCTAATTTGCTATATTTATCGATCTATTAATATTATCCCTTGTATTGTTTTTCTTGTGCTGAATTGGTTGATTGATCAATTACCTTTTTTGTGCGTTTCCTCCAGCTTCTGTTGAGGCAATGTTGAATAAATGGTTTCTTTGACGTGTGTACGTACGTACTTGTATATATAATTATTAGGGTAATGTCTATTTTTTATCCAAACCTTTTTTAGATTCTTTTATTTTATCCAAACCTATTAAAATGCTATTAATTATCCAAATCTTTCGTAATGAATCAAAATATTAGCCATTTTTACGTTATCGTTAATAATTTTGTAACTCTTTTCTTAGTTAAAATACTAAAAAATTGTAATGTTGACCTTCATGTGTCTTTTTCAAATCAGTATCATGTTGCCAAGTCAATATTAGTAACAAAATTGCTAACTGAAAGTTTACATTTGGTTAATTCTTAGTATTTTGATAGGTTTGGCTAATAAAAAACAATCCGAAAATGATTTGGATAAAAAATAGACATTGCCCTAATTATTATATATGGGGGAATTATATTGATTTCCTACAAAGTGTTACTGAATGATTACACTGTTTTCCACCAAGTTACAATGATCAGATGCATATCAAAATAAAGTTCCAAACAGTTGATTCCAGTGGCGGATCCAGTAATTTTTTATAGGGGTGTCCTATTTAAAAAAAATAATTAAATTAAATAATTCATAAATAAAATAATACATGACTAGTACAAATTTTAACAAAAGGGCACAATGTGTTTTCATATTCTTACAAAGAATATAAAATATACCCGACGTCTTCACTGCTCAACAAATCTATATATCATACTAGATGGTGTTTAAATAGAACAAGAAATGAGTTGCAACCTAGGGAATATGTTTAATAATAGTAGTGTCCTATGTTTGAATAACACAAACTACCATTTATACTTTTTTAATCTTACACAAACTACTATCGAGAGTAGAATAATCATTTTTTTCAAAATTTAAGGGTGTCCCGGATTAACAATTATAATTTTTTTACATACGAAACTACAACCGGGGGTTGTATAATCGTTCTTCCAAATTTTAGGGGTGTCCCGGGAGACCTCTAAATGTCCATGTATCCGCCACTGGTTGATTCCTTGTAATACTGGATAAAAAATATGTTGCATTTTGAATATGTGTATTTCAAATGCTTGTATTTGAAATACTAGCATTTGAAATACATGTAATTATTTAAATTCGTTGTTTGGATACTCATTAGTAATTTGTTTTTATTTCAGATTTTATAATTTTTTATTTTAATTTTGAACTTTTTAGTCACTTACTAAAAATTTTGGTTCCCAAATTTATTTTTGGTTACAATTTAGTATGTAAAATTTTAAAAATTTACAAAAAGGTCTCGAAAGTTTGGTGGTAAAATTATCTTTTGGTACCTTAAAATATTCTGCCTCACACTGTAGCACCTAAACTTTTAAAATTTTACAAATAGATCCAATCTTTTGTTAGGAGGAATTTCAAATCACAAGTTGGTGAAATGTATTTGAAGTTGACAAGTAATACACTAGACATGGATTTGGAAATCACCCCATAATTTAGCACAAATTCAAATACCAAATGTAATTGATATCAAATTAATTGATTTTGAAATTCAAATCACAAATACTAAATCCAAATCCTTCCATCCAAACACATCTAAATGGATTTCTGAGAATTACAAAACATGAAAGGTACAGATACTAACAAATATTTTGTAAAAAGTTATTCATAATTATGATTCATATCATATCTTAGCATAGTGGCCCTATGTTGATACAAAAAACTCGCACATAATTAATTGGTCTAGCAGGTTCGTATTTTTTCCTTTGAATTAATTTCTTAAAAACTTTTTGGGCATTTATTTGCATCGAAATTAAAGTTGTCTACATGCAAACTGACATCTCCCAATACGAGAATGAAATTTGACCAATAAATTCGCAACTTAGAACACACAAATAATTTGTAAGTCACTTTGTCCTAAATAAACCAGTTGCTCGTATCCACAAATCAACCGACCGAATGATAAACTTTTTTTTTATAATAGCGATTGAATTAATAATGAAGAAAAATAAAAAGAGTACAAAGAGTACTCGTTCAGGGAAACTGAACCACGATAACAACAAACAACACGAGAACACAAAGAAGAAAGAAGGAACAAACTAAAAGGAAAACTAAGATAGGAAGAACAAGAGGAAGAAGAGAAGTACAAGAAACCGCCAAGCGAGCGACACCGCTCCCGCAGCAAAAACAAGATTACATACGAGAAAGACAGTCAATCATCCAATCAGCAACAGTGTTCTTGTCAATTTTGCCGTGGGCAGAGATCCAAGAAATGACAATTTTGACGGCTTGCTGAGCGATGATGAAGGCTTCAGTCTTAGAGTCCCTGAAGATGCGTTGGTTTCGTTGATTCCAAATAAGCCAGAAGGTAGAATGAGGATGCCAGATGCAAACCAACCATCAAAATTGTTGGGGGTCTCGATGGGTCTGTTGTTGATAATTGTGGTGAGGTCACCATCGAGAGCTCTAATGCCTGGTGCGCCTCTCCTGATAATATTCCACACCTCTTTAATGTACCTGCACTTGACAAACAGATGAGTAGCGTCTTCCTCCTCCTTACAGCACATAGCGCAACGATTCGGAAGGGCCAACCCTCTTCTTTTAAGTATATCCACAATGAGGATCTTCTTGTGCCAAAGAGACCAAAGAAAGAAGCAGATTTTGGTAGGGATTAATGATTTCCACGCTGCTGAAGACTTGAAATTAAGAAGACCAGGGCATTTCTCTTGAGACCTGACTTTATAGCATGAACTAACGGTAAAGCCATTCTCAGGGTTAGGAGTCCATATTAACCTGCAGGGGTTGTTAGCAGACAAGCCACAGTTTCCATCGTGCCATTCAGTAGATTCACTCTTTCCCTCTTTGCTCCCCCTCTCAATCTAGTATTTTAATTAAGATTCCAAGTTAAATTAAGATTCAACTAATACAAATGAAAAGAATGGTCGATCCTTATATGTTGCGGTCTACCTGACGACTAAATGTTTGATATTGCGAAATAAATGATCGACCTCACCATGGAGACATACATCTACCGATTTGGGATAAATATATCTTCGTACCTAAATCCAACGTCGTAGAGAGTGTTCGAAAGACAATTATGAACCTTGTGATTGCACCTGAAAGGTATTGGACACCTAAAATGGTCAAACTGTTGATCTACACGTATTGCACCAAAAATTATCTTTGATGTTATGAATTCTTATTCATCAATCCATCAAAAGCCACAAACTTTCTTTACACGATTTCCAAAGTGATTTATGTTGCTACTAACTCGCGTCAGATGGTAGCGAAGTCTTTGGTCAGTACTGGAATTTTCTAGTGGTGGAATCCTGTTGCAACATTGATAAGATAATAGTCAATCGCTCGACATCTTTATAATCTAGATCTACTAATATTTCCTTTGTAATGGTGCAATTGTGTCATCTGGTTGACCGTTTTTCGGGAGCGATCGATCTTTTTTTTGAGCGGTAAAACTTTTTGTCCAAATCACAAGTTACTATAGCAAAGTCCTAAAAATTTGAATAGAGGATAAAAAAAATCGAATATATATAGAAACCAAAATATATCAACTTGTTGATAAAATAACAAATGAAGAAAAGAAGAATAAACGCCAGCCACTTAGCTTATCAAGTACTGAACATGGCAATTTGCAAGACTAACCCACAAACATCCAAACCTCTGCCGATACTTTCATGTGTCTCTTTGCAGAGTTTACAGACTACCACCTAAACAATTTCACGTTCACACATGGTAATGTTATCTCTATAGCTACCTAGCTTAGCTCCCTAACCCCCAAACTCTCCCTATAAAAACCTCCCATCACCACTCCTAATCTCTTCACCAATCCCACATTACACCACCAACTCTATTTAGACCAAGCCCTAAAACCCACAAATGGCCTCCAAAACCACCTCGACCATGGCACTATTCCTCGTCTTCAACCTCCTCTTTTTCACCATGGCCACCGCCACCAAAAAGGGCTGCCCACCTCCCCCACCGCCGCCGTCCGCCTGCCCACCTCCGCCGTCCCATCCCAAACCAACTCCGACCCCATCACCCAAGAAATGCCCGATGGATGCACTCAAACTCGGCGTCTGCGCCAACGTCCTTGGCTCGTTACTCAACGTCACCCTCGGGAAGCCGCCAGTGAAGCCGTGCTGCAGCTTGATCGGCGGGCTCGTCGACCTTGAGGCGGCTCTTTGCCTATGCACCGCCATCAAGGCCAACGTTCTCGGGATCCACCTCAACATTCCGGTCTCTCTGAGCTTGCTGCTCAATGTTTGTAGCAAGAAGGTCCCGTCCGGCTTCCAATGCCCTTGATGATGGATTTGTGGAGACACTATAGTGCTGTTGTGGTGCCATGAAAGAAAATATTTGCTTGAGTGAGTTCTTGGACAAGTTTGAGTTGCTTGTTTATTTCTGTGGGTGTTTTTGTTTATGAGGGTGTCAAAGGTGAAGGGTTGGTTTGTTTAGTATTTTATGTCACGTCATAGATGACAAATGCGTTGTTGTTGTCTATAGTTAAATTTGATCGATGTTGTTTACTACGAGTACTTTTGGGTTGAATGAAAGGTTGGATTTTTCTGTATGAAATGAGTGCAAATGCATTGAATTAAAATGGAACAAGGGTTTGGTTAAACAATATTACCACTGATTTTAAATTCGGAGGTTTAGGTTCAAATTTTTTTGGGTAAATTGCAAGTTTGGTCACTGAGATTAATAAAAACGTTCACGTTTGGTTACTCTAAATATTTAATTTCATTTGTGTTCACAAAAATTAGTTAAACATTTCAAGTTCGGTCACTCTCCGTCCAACTTCGTTAACTTTTGCTTACGTGGCAATCAACTTTTTTTGTTGACCGTTAAATATGTAACATGACAATTAAAAAATAATAAAATAAATAAAATTGAATTTTTAAATATTCCACCTCATTTCCAACTATTTACAAATAAAAATAATTTTTTATAATCCATTAAACCCTAACCGTCCTCCTCTGCAATTCCCCACCGCAGCCTCACAATTTCTCTTCTCATACACGAAAGAGGGTTGAGCTTGCCAAGGCGGGAGTACATCAAAACGCATGCGAAGAAGAACATTGCGGAAGAACTCATTTGAGAGGAAGAAGAATAAGGGGTACCGCTCGACTAAGGAAGCTTACTCGGAGATACCGGATTGGTCACTGTAAAATAATCTCATAGAACGCTGTACAATGTCAGAGAAGAAGAAAAAACAGAGGCCGAGTTCCAACAAAAAAACAGAGACCTAGTTTCCATCTCGATCGGAATCGCAAAACCCACCTCCCACAATTCGGCGAACCATGGACCGGGTTGAGAAACCGTGAGGCCAAAGCGAGGACTAAGAGGAAGAAGGAGCAACAATGGCGTCCAGTTGAGGAGAGAGAGATAGAGGGAGGGAGATGAGGGAGAATCGAAAAGGAGAAAAGGGAATTTTTATGGGCAGGGGCGAATCGGCCGATGCCGCGTTGGAGAGTGGAGGAAGGAGACGATTGACTAATTTCCAAATCCAGAAGTTACACTCCTTCCTTCCTTTGCCTACTGCTGTTTCTCCGTCATGGTACAGAGAAACTTGCAACCCACAAGTCTACAAACAGACTAAGAATTACATTGTAGTGCTGAGCAAGCGCCGAGATGAGTAGGGTGATTGGATGAGTGGAAAAACATCAAGTAGTTGGAAACCTAGGATGATGTCACAGCGGGTTCGTCTGAAAGTAACGTTGAGAAAATGACTTTGTTGCACTAGAAGGTAGCAGCCGCTACTCTTCTTAAACCGACGGGCTTGGGATTGCAGCAGGAGGAAAGAAAATCGGGAGAAGTGGAAACAACGAGAGTGGCTGAAGCGGCGACGGAGGAAACAGATGGTGGCGAGGAGGAATCGGGAGGAGGATTTCCTGTTTGTTCATTCTTTTAATAGTTTATAATTTTATTTTCATAAGAAATGAGGTGGAAAGTTAAAAAGATTAAATTTTGTTTATTTTATTATTTTTTAATTTCCATGTCAGACATTTAACGGTCAACTATAAAAGTTGACTGCCACGTGAGCAAAACTTAACGAAGTTGGACGGAGAGTGACCAAACTTGAATTGTTTTACTAATTTTAGTGACCACGAATGAAATTAAATATTTGTAGTGACTAAACGTGGACATTTTTAGTAATCACAGTGACCAACCTTACAATTTATCCAATTTTTTTATATAAAAATTTACTTGTATTACCCTTATATAACAAATGCATTCCATTGGAACGAGTAAAAGCAAAACAAATTGAGAGTTTACCTACAATGCACAAGCTAAACTTGTACAGCGGGAAATAAGAAAAATGTTGGATAAGGCAGTGATGTTATTTAATTACTTCATTTTTACAGAATTTGAGAATGTAATTCCCTCACACACATTTATGTTAAGAACAAATAGTTAGCCAATACAAATTTGATCAAGTGGTTGTTTTATCAAATTTTGGATTGAGAAATTTTAATCTTCTCTCTTGCTTGGTGAAGCACTCATGCAAAATCATATGTTATATCTTTATTACAAAATACTTGTTTTTTTTTTTATTTTGCTTCTTATTATTAACATGTGATGTTTTAACTCCTATAGCTTGACGTCAAGATGTGGTGGTGGGTGCACCTATGGTGATATGCATGTCAGCGTATGTAACATGTAATTTTAGGTCGACCTATTCCTAACCGTGGTCGACCGAATACACTAATGTGTGCAATATGATGATTTATCACGGTCGACCTTTAAAATTTAGTGGTCGACCGTTTTGAGTTAAGTTGTGATATTACCTGTCGACCACAATAAAAATGGGTGGTCCTTTTCATTGTATTCTGAAGCAAACTGGTCGACCGTAATTCCGTAAAGGTAATGAGGTCAACCACTTGATTGTAGTCATTACCAAAATGGTCGACCATTTACAAAAAGAGGTATACCAGACAGAAGAGTAAAGTGTTTTATCCATTTATTTATCCCTTTTTGACATGAAATGAAGATCGAGTGATGTTGGTCTCGAGGTCGACCGAATACAGTAAGAGGTCGACCAAATTAAGGAAATTTAGCTTATGACCTTCGACTTTATTGCGTATGTATGTCGATGTGGGTGGTTCGTTTGATCGCTCAAATTACGTTTGATAGTCATTGCAATCAGTCTTATATCATGATAGCAAGTACCCATAACTTCTTAACATAACAACGTAACACACTAACAAGAAATATAATAAAACACACTTCATAATTGTTCACATAAAACACACTTCATGAAATCGAAAACCACATAACAACAAAATACACAAGCTAAACTCATTGAGTTCCAATACATCTCCACTCTCTATAACAAAAAACTAGGTTAACCTAATCCTATATTAGGTTGACCGAAAAGTGCATGTTCCAGTAACATGCATGTCACCGTAGAAAAGTTCTAAACTTTTAATTCTATTAACTTATTAAGCCATTTTAAGAATAAATAATTGATTGAAATCACAGATATTTACTTTTCAGAAAATGGGATTGCTGAAATTGAAATGTATAGACTCTTAAATAAATCTCTCCATTAATTCATAAAGTATTATCCACTCGTGACCGCATTTATTTAGAATGATTCCCATGATTTATAAATTTAGGGGAAAGGTCTGGAATTATTCCTTAGGGGGCCACGAACATTAGCACAATAATCAGTAGTATATATAATACATGATTATAATAAAATTGATACAATAATCATTATTCGGTGGGTGGGAGCGTCCATCGATCACCGGACAAACAGTAGCCAGATCTTGGATCCACGTATACGTCTGTATTAGTCACGGATGAAAATAATATGCGCGTTGCTTCCTCCACAACTAACAAAGCCATCTATTTGTCTGTCTTAAACATATATATGTGGAACCATCCTTTGATTTAATATAACCACTAATCATCACACGGAGACAAGTTAATTACAATTAATCAAGTCCGCTATGAGGGCGGGACGGAAAGACAGCTTAAAGCCTCAAACCTAGAAATAAAGGAAAACTGTTGGATATAAAAAAAATATATATTTACTGTGTCTCCGTCAGCTGAGAACATGAAGGGAATGATAATATTCGTTTCATTTGTTGGACTTAACCAAATATGTTCGTGATATAGGTGAGCGACCACTGTCTGCTTTTTCGTACGCCGGCAGACCGGATTGCATCCCAGCTTAATAAAATAAGCGATCGTTGATCGTCGAGTTTGCTGGCAAACATAGAGTAGTAAAACGAACAACTGTGGGTGGGACGTAAAGACAGCTCAAAGCCTCAAACATAGAAACAAAGGAAAACTGTTGGATATAAACAAATATATATATTTACTACGTCTCCGTCAGCTGAGAACATGAAGGGAATGATAATATTCGTTTCATTTGTTGGACTTAACCAAATCTGATCTTGATATAGGTGAGCAACCACTGTCTGCTTTTTCGTACGCCGGCAGACCGGATTGCATCCCAGCTTAATAAAATAAGCGGTCGTTCATCGTCGAGTTTGCTGGCAAACATAGTATGGTAAAACGAACAACTGTGGGCGGGACAGAAAGACAGCTCAAAGCCTCAAACATAGAAACAAAGGAAACTGTTGGATATTAACAATTATATATTTATTGCGTCTCCGTCAGCTGAGAACATGAAGGGAATGATAATATTCGTTTCATTTGTTGGACTTAACCAAATCTGATCTTGATATAGGTGAGCAACTACTGTCTGCTTTTTCGTACGCCGGCAGACCGGATTGCATCCCCGCTTAATAAAATAAGCATCGTCGAGTTTGCTGGCAAACATAGACTGGTAAAACGAACAACTGTTGGCGGGACGGAAAGACAACTCAAAGCCTCAAACATAGAAACAAAGGAAAACTGTTGGATATAAACAAATAAATATTTACTGCGTCTCCGTCAGCTGAGAACATGAAGGGAATGATAATATTCATTTCATTTGTTGGACTTAACCAAATCTGATCTTGATATAGGTGAGCAACCACTGTCTGCTTTTTCGTACGCCGGCAGACCAGATTGCATCCCAGCTTAATAAAATAAGCGGTCATTGATCGTCGAGTTTGCTGGCAAACATAGACTGGTAAAACGAACAACTGTGGGCTGGACGGAAAGACAGCTCAAAGCCTCAAACATAGAAACAAAGGAAAACTGTTGGATATAAACAAATATATATAAATATATTGCGTCTCCGTCAGATGAGAACATGAAGGGAATGATAATATTCGTTTCATTTGTTGGACTTAACCAAATATGATCTTGATATAGGTGAGCAACCACTGTCTGCTTTTTCGTACGCCAGAAGACCGGATTGCATCCCAGCTTAATAAAATAAGCGGTCGTTGATCGTCGAGTTTGCTAGCAAACATAGATTGGTAAAACGAACAACTGTGGGCGGGACGGAAAGACAACTCAAAGCCTCAAACATAGAAACAAAGGAAAACTGTTGGATATAAACAAATATATATTTACTGCGTCTCCGGTAGCTGAGAACATGAAGGGAATGATAATATTCGTTTCATTTGTTGGACTTAACCAAATCTGATCTTGATATAGGTGAG